AATTATTGCATATAACTCCATTAAATATGCAGAATATTTCGTGTTCTTAGAGGATCTAATGGACGATACATTTTGAATATTTAAAGTAATTATTTTAATTCAAATTTTAAAAAAATGAATCGAAGTAAGAAAATATTCAGACACTTTCCTGATTACAATTAAACCTTTAAATTTTCTCGTAAATTAATTATTATTGATAAATGATGAGAAGATAAATGTTCTTAATCTGCCACGTCACACTGGGCGACGTTGAAAACATTTTATCACTGTTTTACAAGATGTCTATCGATAAGTGACATCACAAGTCCGTCTGTATTTTCCTATAAATTAGCTCGAGAATTCGATTTCGTCACAATTAAAATTCTGCATCGAAGTCGCAAACTTCTGCAAAAAAATGTCGCGAAAGTGCGGTATTGGTTCCAGAACGGGATGCTTAACTTCGGCAGTAATTACTATCGTAAGTACAATTTCTACTGTTGTAATTCGTTCCTTGATAGCAAAATATAATAATTATTATATTTTATTTTATTAATTAGATTACTAGGATTTTTGGTATATTGTTCTTTGTTTTGATCGCCTGGAAAGACAAAGCTGGACTATATGACGAGGAATGCAAAAGAAATGATGGATTTTATGGTAAGATACTGCATTTTTCGAATTATGTGAAATTATTTTCTACATTTCTCTCGAGCAAATTGAACAGATGTAAATACTGCGGGGAGATTCAAAAAAGGACATTGGTTACACCCGAACGCGGTCAGCACCACTAAAAACAGCCATTTAAAAAAAAAGACGCCTCACAGTGACGATATTCGGTACTACGTGAGACAAACCTGACGTGTTTTGCTATAAATTAACTCCTCGGTCGATTCTGCAATATTTTTCGTAATTAATTTAAAATTCTATATGCTTTCAAAGTTGTAAAGTCCTTTTTGAATTATCTTGTATTCTTAGATGATAAAATGTAGGCCTATATGGGCCTACGTATGATAGTGAATATTAAATTTTAATACTCTTAACTTGTAATTATTATATTACATAATTAATATTTTTTTACATTATTTTTAAATGGTTTGATATGTAGTCTAATAAGTAAGTGAAGTATTCTTAATAAATTCTTGTATTCCAATGAGTAACGGGGGAATTATTATTTAGTGTTTTGTGAATGCTATCTCTACTGATGTTTGTTGATAACCTACCTCATCAAGAAATCAAATATAATCTAATTTGACGTACTGATTATTATTTTTATTTTCCTTTTCTAAGTTAGCAAAGGAACACACACACACACAAAGCTAGAACTATAATATATTAGAGAGGCCCGAATTAGAACGTGCAAACTTATTCATCCTGTATTACTGTGGATACAGCTACTAGGCACATTGGATGAAGATATTGTAGGCTATATATATATTTACTTGCTTAAACCAGAGGCCATTTCCTGGTTATGCTATTGCACTCATATAATGCAATAAAATTGAAGTATCGTGTCTGTCCCATTGCTAATTAATAGAATATCTTTTTATTTATTATCCCACACGTGCTTTATTTACATGGATTTGTTAATAAATAATTCAATTCGTACAAAATGAACTAAATCAAATCATTATTTGTTCTTTAGATACTGTTCTTCGAAGAGGTTACTGCTACTTTCTACTAGTTTCGAGCTTGATTTGTATCATCGTGAGTCTTATTATGATCTTCGGTGTAAAAAGGGTAAGTTCGTGACACAAGTTATTTCAATATAATAGCAGAACCGTGCCAAAATTGAGGGAGGAAATGAGATAGATTATAGGTTTTTACGAGACAAAAGCCGTCTTAATGTAAAATACATTTTAAATGACGACAGTACTTTACTAGGCTCTTGTTAATCCGGCCCTTTCTTGCACAGAGGGGTGCCAGATTACCGAATATATAGTCCTAAAGGCAATGAATAACGTGACTTTCGAGTATGCACGAAAACAGGATGTGACGACTAACATTTTCATGGAATTGAAAGCGCATAGGCGATCATACGGGGTATGACGTAATATTGAGAGGCCGGATTAGCTAGAGTGAAATATTTAACTTTTAAGATGTGTTATACAATTAATATATATATATTTAATTCTAGGAGAAAAGAGTACATTTACTTCCCTGGATAACTTGGATACTCTTCGAGCTTATTTGCTACTTGAGTGCCATTCTTGCATTCTCCATCAGTTTTTTCAAGAATGCCATAGTAATTTTCCCTAATTCTATCTTTAGGAAACTTCCAGATTTTGTTAAAAGATTTTCTTTAAAAAATTATTTATTTATTTACTTAGAGCGAGTTGTATATGTCTGAAGTGTTTCCATTTGTTATAGGATATCTTATCATTGATGTGAGTAAAGTTTTGATTTGATGTTACTAATTATAATTTGCACTTATTAGTTATTTTGCTATATTTATTTGTTTTTTTTCAGATTTACTTAATGGTGTATGTTCTTTCATATTACAACAGCTTTGAAGTTAAACCAATAATTCCTTATTACAAATATGGAAACGAACCTAATATTTTGAGATATTAATGTCATTAAACATGAGGCAACAAAGGCTTTATATTCGTAAATCTCAAGTAATGAAGCTCATCCCATGAACTGTTTTTTATTATATTTATTTATATTATATTATTTTTTATTGTGAAAAGAATAAAGAATTTTATAAATAAATTTTTTTTTATCTTTTAAGAATATTTTGGCTCGAAACGTTTTAAAATATAAACAAAACCGATAACATTTCAGCAAAGTATAGTATTGATCCATTAAAGATTACAAAAGTCCTTTCTCTTGCATTCTTTCACACACTATTGAAATCAATAGTGTGTGAAAGGAGGAAAGGAACTGGAAACAATTACGATTTCGACACTTTTATTAGGCAATACAATTATTTCCTGAACGTATAAAAAGCTATAATGTCCCTATAGTGAACATTCTAAGGTCAGCACCCTCCTCGTTTCAGTGTGACCCAATGATGCATAAAAGGGACGACTACTTTCTTTTATTAAAATGTTAATAAAGACAATATACTCGTATTATGTCTTAATAAATATATTAAGAAATGTTTGCGTCAGTAAAGAATTTAATTACTTCATCAAATTTAAAGGTTTTTGACATTTACTATCGGTTTGATATGTTATTTACATTTCAGTAACATTGAAGCATTGAAGACGTATTAATGTATCAATAAATGTATGGGACATTGATGCTATTAAATTTGGTAGTTAACGGTCGAGGAGGTATGATTTAAACCAAAGTGGAAAGAGGTATAGGAGCTCGTGCCATCTTTTTTGGTAACAAATCAGAGTTGATGCACAACACTAAAAAAGCAATGCACACAAATCTGGTAGTACAAATTCTCATGTTAATAAGTTTGGTCATCTTATCCTTCTCTTCTCTTTGTTGATATTTGTGACCACATGGTCATTTAGGATAAAAACTATTCCAAAATAAAGGGCACGGATGCCTCAATAAATAGAAACAAATATCGGTGTAATTTACAGTGTAAATCTGTGTGTATTGTAAATTTTAACTGTTCACATATCTTCCTCCTTAGCTATGTTTTGGATATACGGTTTTACTTTTTCGGCTGTTATGTAAAAAGGAAAAGTGTTGGAATGGTATCAAATTTAACCCTCAAGGTTTTTTTTTTTGTTTTTTGTAAATTTCCAGGTTTGAGATGCCTGAATCAAAAATTCCAGCAACGAGTTGCTTAACTTTCCTGGGCGACATTTGGTAGCGTCATCTGTTATCATATTTTATTTTTAAAAACTGTTTTATATTTTTACTATTATAAAAAGGCAAAAAGCTTAATTTTGAGAGTAGGGATAAGTTTTATAAAAAATGTAAATGATAATTACGAGTAAAAACATCATTAAGTCCGACCCTACTGGAGAGACACAGGGCACCATTGTCTCCCCACCCCCGACCTTTAACCACCGAAATTTAATAGTATCGATCTCCCTGCAAAATTTCAGAAATTTTCGACAAAAAGCACGGGAGTTATTAAGCTTCAAACAGGGTGAACAAAATAATGCTACCAACACACACAAACTAACATCAAGATAAACCCCTGAATTTTTTTCTTTTGTTTTGCATTTCGGCGTTTCAAAGTCTCCCGGGTTAAAAAATGTAAAAATCTTTTCGATCGATTGCCATACTTTCCCTCTATTATATATAACAGTCGGGAAAGTAAAAAGTAAAAAAGGCAAAATTCCCTGTGTATGTGTGTTGCCATCTATTTCATTTAATCTCAGGATGGGGTAAAGATTAAAAAACGAAATTTGACACGGTAGCTCGTGTATAAGCGGCATTAATGCTATTAAATTTTGGTGGCGAAAGGTCGGGGTGGAGCGATACAGGGTGGTCACGTGTCATATCTCGAATACAGTCTGACGTAAATTTTACTCGTTATTAACATTAACATTTTAAAAAATAAAACTCATCTGTACCCTTTAAAATTAAGTCTTGCCATTTTGTATTAGTTAATAATAGTTTTTTAATAACAAAATCTCATAGCAGATGGCGCCACACGCAATTTTATTTTTTTAATTATTATTACTGAGGTTATTTTTTAAATAAATCTCCTAACAGCTGGAAAAGTTACACAACTCATTGCTAGATTTTTTTTAAATTTTTACTTTCTTTTTATATAACTTTATGTAAATATAGACAAACTAATTTTAAAATGAATTTAAACGAAACACGAAACTTACCTTTAGGCCTAAAAGTTTGTAAGCAGAAAGAGGGGAAAAGAATATCGTAGATAAACAACGTACACGAGTCATTTGCATTAAATTTAACATTAATTATTCAAATAATTTACTTTACGAGCAATTTCCTTAATTTAAAACGTCTTCATCCCCGTACGAAACTTCAACTGAAGCAGACGATAGATGCAAATGACGTCATTTACATATTTTGGCTATTTTTTAATTATCACTTTTACATTTTCATCTTGTTGGGCTATATTTTTAATTTTTTATGTAATGTAAATAATACTTTCGAAATTATTATTATTAATGATTAAGTGTTATTATTATTATTTCGAAAATATAAATACTTTTAGAATATTCTGGATTACGTTGCAGTTTTTAATGACCGCAGCGTGGCGCATTTCACTTCGTCCATAAAATATAATTTTAACGCGTCTGTAACGTAAAAGCCGTTTAATTCAGTTCTAATATTTTTCAATATTTACCACATGAAATAAGAGCAAAAAGCGGCAGTTTTTAAATACTCATTTGTACATTAATTAGCGCCAACCTCGTCTTCTTTATCTGATACTGTATTAGTAAATAAACGCCATTTTATATAAATAATACATGAACCCGTGCAAAATTAATGATATAACTATTTTCTACTGATAAATAAGAGCATTTTATCTAAAAAACGTTAGTTCTCTTATGAAATTATCGTTTGATAACACTAACGGTACTTAAAGTGGCGATTTGAAAGCGTGTCGTGCGTCCTGAGAAAGGGTCCGAGTTCGAGTCTTTTTCGGATCGAACACAACTTTCTGCTAAAAAAAAAAAGTATCCTTTAGCGTAGACACGTGTAAATTAAAATTTCATATATTATTGGGTAAATCATGATTCATGCCATAGTTATTACGAATGACAAAGCAACAGATGGTGGAAGGACGTCAATAAGCGCAATTTTATAAAATAGTTGAACTATGAATGAGTGAAGATGTATAGGAATAGTTGCTGCTTGCAAAATACTAAGAATGGAAGCATTGCTTGTGGATTTTTCACTTTGGTAAGCGTAAAAATTATGTTCTTAATTATTCACGTGGTGCAATATGAGAACTTACACTTTTCTGTAGGTATCTAGGTCATTAGGTGCCATATTACTTATTGTTGGGTTAGTTCATTTGGAAAGTATCTCTATTTACTTGAAAGGAAACGAAAACTTTGTATACTGTAAGTAAAATTTAACCATTGTAATTACCGTTATAAATTATAGTATTTATTTTAAATATTTTACCAGCTCTACGAATCGTGTTTTTAACTCAATTAGTAGATTGTGTATTATTCATCACATTCAGTATTCTACTTATCCACGGAGTTAGAAAGGTAAATCAGCTTTACTACTATAATTTTAAGCTTAGAATTCTTGCTTTAATTTAATTAATAAGTCGCGAGTAGATTTCAGCCTCTCGATCAGACTGGCTTCTTGGATATGTAATCCGTACATTTGCACGGACTACACACTTGATTAATTAATGCACAAGTCTGTCTTCATTTATATTTTGCATTAGACCCCAAACAATAGAGCTGGCACTCTTCCAACTTATTACATGTGGGTGGCCAGGTTGTAGCAAGAGATAGGACCCAACAGTTTGTTAAAAATTCCTGGAGTTCTTCAACCAGATTTGATCATGGTCCATGAGAGTGGCAGGCTGATCCTTTGCTGCCTTGGCCATCCAGCAAGCAGTTTGTAGAATCCCTGTTGTACTTCTGCCACAATGAATTTATTACTGTATCTGATAACAAGCGGGGAGACACAAAAGGTTGATAAACATGGGGACAGCAAACTTGAAATGAGATTCAGCATCAACAATAGGCTCAATCAATCTTGTCAATGTGGAATTAATAGTTAACATTCCTATTCTCAATTTTGTTGTCCTTGTGAAATGGCCTTGTGTAAAAGATATATTTAATAATATAGAAAAATTTGTTTCAGTTGTAAAAGTTTTGTTTTTTATACTTAAAGGACAACTCTTCATTGATGTTTCCATGGATTATTTGGATGATAATCGAAATTGGAGGTCTGACAATACTCATTATCTTAACATTAATGGGAATAACACAGGAAGTGGTTAGTCCTTTTCAATGTAAACCTTAATTAATTAATAATGTTTTAATGATAAAATTTGCACTTTTTTAAAAACAGAAACTATCTGCAATTCTTGCTACCATTCTATTCTCTCTGATATTTCTCGGAATTGATGTAAGTTCTACTTTAAATATTCTCATTTAAGCAAACAGAGACTAAACCAAACTTCATTTTTTTCAGATATATTGCTTGTTTTGCGTCATGGCTCAATATAAACTGCTGCAATATAACCCACCTGCATATTCAGTGATAATTTGAAATGTTTCATCTTTATTTTTCAGTATTCTAAAATCCTGAAAATGTTAATTTTTAAGTAAATATATTACAATAAAATACATTTATATATATAATGCATGCATAAGTTTGTGTGGATTTTAATCAGTTCTTGATGGTAATTATTGCAAATTAATTAAGCAGAATAATTTCTCTTTTTAATTCTTTTTGTCCCCAAACACTAAGAAAACTCTGCCTTCATCTCTATTGTGGGCTTGTCCACAATAAAGATGAAGGCAGATATTGTGAGATGTGGGCTCACAATAGGGTAAATGGGTAAAAATTATGTCCAATATATCCAATATTAAATTATCTGTGAATATTTCTGAGTATCCAAGTCAGACTCAAACTGGATGCTTCAGAGTGACCACCTTTATTGCTTCGGCTAGCCAACTGACATAACCGAATACAAATTT